AGTGAAAACATCATGAGGATTATTCTACGTTTCTGCCGATAGATCCTTTCACCTGAATCTTACACTGGAGCTTTAAGTAATTCGCTGAATAACCATTGGACAAAGATCAAACCTTGGTGTAGAATAGTTTGATAAAAACAACCATGTGGAATAAGGAGAGAGGAGCTTTCTGAGTTTACCTGCGACCTTGGCGCTGGCGGTGCACTTGGCCTGTTCTCCTCTGTGATTGGCCAGGCTGATGGTGTAAATGGCCTCGTCGCTCTTCTGAGCATCTCGGATCCTCAGAGACAGGACGTTGTCCCTCTGAGCCATCATGTACTTGCTGCTCTCAAATATGGTCTCCTCATTCTTCAACCACTTGGCCTTTGCTCCCTCCGTGTTCGTCTCACAATTGAACACGATCTCCGTTCCCTCCTTCACCTCTGTGTCTTTGATCGGCGTGATGATCCTCAGTTTTTCTGCAGCAAAGTAAAGTCTTGTTACATTCAAACCTTGGCTCATTAAGAGCCATCAATAAAAAGAGAGGAAGATTCTTACCGATCACACACAGATCAGCTGAGGCTCTGACGCTGCCGATGTGAGCAACATAGCCGCCCTCGTCCTTCAGTTTGCAGTTTTTCACAATAAGAGCCCTTATCTTTCCTTCACTGATGATATTGTACTTGTCCCCGGTCTCCACCTCCTTATCACCTCTGAACCATTTCACCTCGTGCGTTTCCTTAGAGACGGAGCAGGCGAACTCTGCTTTCTCACCCTCCACCACTTCCTGGTTCTGAGGACGAGCGATGAACTCAGCGGCCAGTTCTGAGGAGGGGGAGGACATGAGAAAGAAGATTAGTGGTTGTTTTGCTAATCTCAGTTTGTAGACGTCTCTCCTCTAACCGTCCTATTTTTCTGTTTTCTCACCATTCAGTTTGAGCGTGGCGGACGTCTTGACGGTCGGACTCAATCTGCAGTTGTAGTCGCCAGCGTCTTCCATCCTCAGATCCTGGATGATCAGGATCCTCTTGCGTCCATCCATGATCTGATCGTAGCGTCCTCCCTCTGGCAGCTCCTTGTCTCCTAGGTACCATGTGACCTCGGCACCAGCCTTTGACACTTCACAGATCATCTTCACGCTGTCTGTTTCCATTCCCTCCACGTTGGACAGGTTCTTGGTGAATCTGGCGGCCTCCTCTGTTAACGTGAAGACAAAGAGAAGATGAGCACTGCCCTGATTGTTGACTGTCAGGTGAATGTCTCAGCCTTTATCGTGTTTCCTCAGCAGAGAGCGGACATACTGTTTTGTGAAGTGAAAAGTTTGAAATATTCAACATAAAGAATAAATGGATCCTCACCGATGACAGTGAGCATGCCAGACGTCTTGGAGGTTCTGGCGTCACACTCGTACTCTGCCTCATCGTCGAACACAGACTTGTGGACGATGAGGATCCTCTGGACTCCCTTAGAAATGATCTCGTACTTCTTTCCTTTCCTGATCTCGCTGCCGTCCTTGAACCATCGCACCTGGCGTGAGAGAGAGGAGACGTCACCACCGTCGGATCATCAGCTGATCATCTGACACAAAGTGACTGATGGAGGCGGGTCTTACCTTGGCGGACTCGCGGGACACTTCACATTCAAACTTGGCAGATTCCTTCTCTTTGACCTCCACGTCCTGCAGAGGCTTCACAAACTCCACATGTGGAGCTGTCGACACAGACAACGTGATTAGGTCCGACAGACTCAAACTCGAACACCTGCTTTTTCTTTATTTACACAAATAATTTAAACTTTGAACTAAAATCCTGAACCTGTATCACTTTGTTTTCTTGGCAGGAACAAATTCTCCATACGGAGGCTAAAACAAGACACATGATGGAGCAGAGACCATGTGACTGTGGAGGCTGAAAACTGTAACGATATTAAACTTTGATCTATTTTATTTGAATAAATCATCCATTAGTAGTTTACTTTAAATAGTTTTATATAGTGGACAATTTGTATTTGTCTTAAGAGATGATACGTTTCTGAATGTTTTGTTTTACAGATTATTCTCGTGCACTGTAAAACACCAAAATTGAATATGTTTAGTATGGAAGACCAATCCTGCCCTGAACATAAATCTATGTAAAGAAATGACAAAAATGGAAAAATAAAAGCCTTTTAACAATTTTGTGATTTTAGTCGAACCTCAATGAAGATAAATAAGTGAATGTTAGAATAAAAATAAACTTGTTACAGGTTCTTTTTGAAAGTAAGTGAAGCTGTAGAAGCAAACGAATATAAAAAACTTGGTGCTTACGTGTGACCTCCAGGTAACAGGAAGTCTTAAACTCCTTGGCGTTACATGTGTACATCTTGGCGTCATCCGGAGAGCAGTTGTGGATGACCAGCGCCCTTTTGCGGCCATCAACGATCAGGTTGTACTTCTTGGTCTTCCTGATCTCTTGTCCTTCTCTGAACCACTGAACTTCTGCGTTCTCTCTGGAAACTTCACACTCAAGCGTGGTGGTCGCCTCCTCCTCCACCGTCTGATCCACCAGAGGCTTCGTGAATTCCACTGCCGGCTCTGAACACACACACACACACACACACACACACACACACACACACACAGGACGTCAGCTGATAACCACTAACACAACTGTCTGAAATGCGCTCTGTGTCCGCAGTGCGTTCAACCATCTCACCCCTGACTATGAGCTGAGCCTGAGTCTGGAAGTCTGTTGCGATGAGTTTGACCTCACCAGCCTCCGACAGCTTCACGTCTCTGACAGTCAGAGTGTGAACTCGACCCGCTGTCCGAGTCTTCACCTGCAGTCAAGAAGAAAAGAAAATTCACACTTAGACACCTATGTTGGTGATTGAGTCGATGTAATTAAGGCTGAACCATGAACCTGCCCAGGGGCCTCGAGCATCAGGGGCCTCGAGCATCAGCCATGAATATGGTTTCACAAAGTGTGAGAGAGCTCAGACTTTTAGTTTGTTCAGGGGCCAAAGATAACCTCCTCCTCCAGGCTTTAATGACCTGGAACCAGTCAAACTGAGGCAGTGAGATTTTAGAGGGGCTGTTGGAAGGACATGCTTTCTAATGAGAAGAGAAGGGGATCGAGATCAGAGCCCTGAGGAACTCCAGAGGGGAGGAGGTGGGCTGAGGAGGAGGAAGCATTCTCCCCCCACCCTGACAGAGAAGCTTCTGTTTTCCAAATAGGACTGAAACCAGTTTAGGGCATTTCCCTGGATCCCGACACATTTTTCGAGCCTCCTGATGAGCAGTTAATGATGAAACTCCGCGCTGACGTCTAAAAGAGTTCAAATATCTCCATCAAACCTTTGAAAGAGCTAATTTAGGGCTTTGGTTTCCTCTATTCCGGATTTAGAATCTAGAATCAATTGATTATTTAGTGAATAAAACATCCGAAAATATTGAAAAATAGTCAATGTTTATTTTGTTTGTTCATCGTCAAAAAATATAATATAAAAATATAAAACATTTATGCTTGAGAATTTTTTTTTCTATGAGTTAAACTTATGAGTTTCTACTTATTGATCAGAAATCAGCTGATTAATCATGTGTGATCTACTGGAGGCCACAACACTGTAAATAACTTTTGAATGTACAGCATGTGGAGTCCTCAGGGGCCTGGGGCCCCTCAGCGTTAACATGGCCATGATAACTTGTTGTAGTTGTGGTGGTGCCCCCTGCTGCTTGTTCTGGATAATGAATAAAACATGACGTTTTCACATGTTGACTCTTAAATTCAGTTTCATTCATTTTTATGTGAAACGCTGGATTAAATTGTTTTAGGAAAGTTTTATTTTTCAGACGTTCGTCTCAATCACCAGTTAAATATTAATGTTTGATCGTGTTTTGAGTTGAGAGTTGAAATTCGAAGCTGCTCATGAGTCTCGATGATAACAGCTGCTCTCCTATCTCGGGTTATTTTTAACTGCAGCCCTGTAAAAATTCTGCTTACCAAGGAATGTTCACAGTCAAAAACTTAACAGAAAAAATAAGAATGAGGAAAATAAACTTGATTCTAAACACCTGAGTGTTTTTTTAACATGGTTTTGAAGTTAAAATAATATTTCAGTAAATTTTAGTAATGCATTTGTCTGAAGGAAACTAAACTTATTAAAACAAACACGAGTCTTTAAAAATCAGTAAAAATCCACAAACTGTAAAAAACATTGTGTTTCATTATGTGATGAATATTAATTTTCTGCAGTAAAATCAAAAAGATAAAACGATTTGAACGTTTGAATTAAACTGTTTTTACGTGTATGACAGTTCTGACTTTCACTGTAAAACTTTCCAAAGTGAAAACAAGTTCTGTTATAACACAAAACGTACACACTGCAAACAAATCTCCACAAATGATCTTGTTCTTTTCGTTTGTTAAATGTGAGAAATGATTTCACTTTAAACACATTTTTAACAGACAAGGAAATAATAAACTAAAAGATTTATTTTCTAAAGGGACTCACGCGGTCGCTGGCCTCCATTTTCTTTCCTCCCAGGAGCCACTGCACCTCGATGCCTTCGTACGACAGCTCGCACTCGAAGGTCGCGGTCTCCCCGGCCGTCACCGTCACGTCTTTCAGAGGACGCGTGAGGCTGATGGAGCGAGCTGAGGAACAAGGAGACCTGGTTAATGGAAGCCGGACGGCCGGAGCTGGTCTGAGCTTTGTGAGACAGTTGAAGTGGTGTCACTGCTCGACCAATCACAGAGCAGCGTCTCACTTTAGATAAAGACTGACGAGTCAAAAATAACTGCAGCAGCTGATTGGCTGAAGACAGACTCATGACACTGGTATGTGACGAGGTGTCATGGTTTTAAAAGTTGAAACTTGTTTGTCTAATAATGAAAGAATTTTGAAAATATTATGGATGTTTAAAAACTTTGAGATTAAATTATATTTTTCTTTTGTAGTAGTGACATTATTATTCAGACGATTTAAACACAAGATTCAGATTTATATTTGAAAGAGAAAATGTCAAACAGATCTGACATTTTCTGTGAATGAGTGAAAACATTAACAAATCTTCATAAACACAGAATATTTACAGTGGACAAAGACACAGACACAAAACGCTGCTTATATATATATATATATGATTCACTGTATGAATGTGCGTGAATGGGTGAATGGAAAAACTGTAAAGTGCTTTGAGTGTCATCAAGACTAGAAAATAAATACAAACCAAACCATTTAAAAACTATATGATGATTTGCGTCATCATATAGTTTTTATATAAATATATATAAAATAAAATATACACAAATAGTATTTTTTTTTCTATTTATAGAATTAGAGTTGACCATACAAAGAAGATAAATCTCTCACCTTTGACTCGCAGCTGAGCGTTGGATTTGGCATTGGCTGCACAGAAGTCGACGCCCCCTGCCATGTCCATACGAACGTTATAGAGGATCAACATGTGTTTGGTTCCCTCCTCTTTAATTTCAACGTCCTGAAACAGAACAAACTTTCATTCAAACTGTTTGTTGTGACGAGAGCTCAGTTCTAGGATGAAGTCGGACTCACAGGCGACTGGTGCAGAGCTTCTCCTTTCAGTTTCCAGTTCCCGTGGACGTCATCCTCTGAAATCTCTGTCTCAAACTTGGCTGTTTCCGTCTCTGTGACCTCCACACTGTACAGCGGACGTACCACCTTGATGTCGCGCTCTGCAGGAAAAAACATCAGTTTCACATCAGTCTTCACTACATCGAGCTCAACGGCCAAGAATCCTTCTCACTTCTAGAAATGTTAGAAATCACTGAATTTACTTCTGTGTACACAACAGATGTATTCATTCAATCCTTACCTTCAATGTTGAGGTTTGCTGTTGTTTTGTCGGAGCTGCAGTCGCAGGTGTATGATCCAATGTTTGCTTTCTCAGCCTTCCTGACCATCAGGATGCGTTTCTTTCCGTCGGTGCTGATTGCAATGTTTTTGGAGGGAGTGATCTCCTGTCCGTCCTTGAACCATTTGACGTCTGCGACTGCTTTACTTAGTTCACAGACCAGCTTCACCTCATCTTTCTCCACGGCCGTGTAGTTCTGCAGCTTGGTGGTGAAGTAGATGTCACCCTCTGCAGAGAAACCAGAGGATTTCATGTTAAAGATATTTTTTGTTAATCATCTTTGAAATGATCAATTCGATGAAGGTGGATGACTGACCGATGACAGTGAGCATGGCGGTCACGGTCTTGTCCATGGCCTCCACTTTGATCATGGACGTGTCGTCTATGGTGACCTCCTTGAAGGCCAGTGTGTGGATCTTTCCCTGATCCGACATGTGCACCACTTTGCTGGGATGAAGACGGATGTCATTTTTGTACCAAACTACAGAGACTTTTTCATGAGAGAGTTCGAAACTGAATTCAGCCGTTTCTCGCTCCTTCACTGTCACGTCCTTGATCGGTTTGACAAACTCCAGACGAATACCTGAAAAACATACACACACACTTTGGAAAGGAAACCTCAAACAAAGAAAAAGCGACATTTGTTTAAATGTATTTTATCAATTCTACTTAAGGACTGACCAGAGGAGTATTATATAAAAACATGGCTTTACCCTGTATGACCAGCTTGGCCGTCGTCCTCTTGTCCTCAGCCTCGAACGTGTACTTGGCCTCGTCGTCGTAGGCGGCAGATTGGATCAACAAAACATACATGTTTCCCTCCTGCATCATCTGGTACTTGTTATCGCTCTGCAGCTCCTGCGAGCCTTTCATCCAGCGGAAGCTCTTCGGCACCCTCGACACCTCCACCTCGAACCTTGCCTCATCCTTCTCGTAGACCTGAACGTCATTCAGCTGCGCCAGGAAGTTCAGAGGGAGTTCTGCAGGAAACAGTCGAGTTAGGATTACGGATCAGACTGTTGTGCATTCAGTTCACAGACCCATTTCTAGAAGCTTGGTTTACCTTTGACCTTCAGGTTGGCTGAACATTTAGCGTTGGCGGCAGCGTACGCCACCTCTCCGGTCATCGAGACTCTGCAGTTGTACAGGATCAGAGTGTGTTTGCCTCCCTCCTCGATGACGTCAATGTCCTGTTAAATTCGATAACAAAGCCGCATCACAAATCCACATTCATGTACATTTCATATTGTCTCTAAATATAAATTGATGAGGTGGTGCTCACAGAGGAAGGACTGAGGACTTCTCCGTTCAGTTTCCACTGGCCGTGCACGTCGTCCTCTGAGATCTCCACCTCGAAACGAGCCGTCTCTCCGTCAAACAGCTCTACGCCATAAATCGGCCGTACGACCTTGATGTCACGAGCTGGTGGAGAAAAAAAAAAAAAAGAAGTGAAAGTTGCATGAAACGAGATAAATGGATCAGGGCTGTGTTAAAAACGAAATCTCATTTTAATCAAACATTGATTTAGTTTCAGAATTTAATTTTTTTTTATATATAATCTTGAGTGAGTTCTTCTCCTCACAGGTTTTAGTTTTCTCTCCATGTAGTTTCCTGTCAGAGTGAGCGGTCGATGCTCCACCTAGGGTTGAAGCAGGAGCCACGAGCGGGCCGAGCTAGCTGGTTAGCATGCTAACTTCAATAGAAAGTGATAGAAGAGTCATCATGTGTCGTCGTTCAGTGAAGCGATACTAGTGCTAATCTTAGCTGATCGATGCTGATGCTAATGCTAATGTTAGCTCTGTAGGAAAACCTTCACTTTTTCTCTGCTACATTTTTATTTTTGTTTCTCAGAATCATTTTCTGCTTTTCTTCAAATTTTGTCCCAAACTCAATATTTCTCGTCTGAGACGATTTTGTGAAACGCAGACGGCTCAGAGCTGATGTTTGTGCGTTTACCTTCGATGCTGATGTTGGCCAAAGTTTTGTCGGTTCCACAGTCACATATGTATTTCCCTTTGTCGCTCGACTCCACTTTCTTCAGGACCAGAGACCTGCGAGTGCCCTCTGACCTCATCACCACCATCTTGGAGGTGATGATCTCCTTCTCCTCGTGATACCACATGACCGGGACGTCTTTGCTCAGTTCACAGTCCAGAGACACCTCGTCTTTCTCCGTGGCCGTGTAATCCTGCAGCTTCACCACAAAGACGGCGTCGCCCTCTGGAAGAGATCGACACACACAAGTTTCAGGACGATGCACAGGAAATTAGTTTTTGTTTTACAAGAACAATTCTGGTTTATGTCTTATTTTCAAAGTTATTGAGAAAAAGAAAAAGAAGCATGAAACAGAATCCGAACTTTAAATTAATCAATACTAAAAATAATCAAGTAAAGATAGATTCATAAAAAATTCAGAAAAGTGAGTAAGTAAATAAAACCAAAGTTGTAACAAAGCAGAAGAAGAGTTGAGTTATTTCTCAGAACATAGAATTATTCATGTTGAATAGTACAAGCAGACACAGTGAAGACAGTGAAGACAGAAGAGAAGTTGTTACCTATCACCGTCAGTTTAGCCATGGTGTAAAGTCCTTTGGCCTCTGCCTTTATCTGGCAGGTATCATCTAGAGTCAACGTCCTCATTTCTAGACTGTGTCTCTTTCCTTCCACATGTGTGAGAACCGACCGGCTCATGTGAAGTTTGACTTCGTTCCGGTACCAAACCACCGGCATGTTCTCGTGGCTCAGCTCGAGCTCAAAAGTTGCTGTTTTACCTTCTTTCACCGTTTGGTCCTGAAGCTGCTGCACAAACTTCAGCCTCGTGCCTAGAATACATCAGGTCAGTGCACAAACATGGCTGTTTGTTGCCGTCGCGACTGTACAAACATTTAATGACAACACGACGTGAAGCGTGTGTTCTGTCGGAAACTTACCTTCGACTGTCAGCTGAGCGCTGGACTTTTGTCCCAACACTTCGATGGTGTACTGAGCCTCGTCGTCAAACTCACAGCTGTTTATGATAAGCATGTGTTTCTTCCCATCATCTATTATTTCATATTTGGGGCTTGGGGTGACTATCTCCGCCCCCCTGAACCACATGACCTTTGGCACATCCTTGGTGATGGTGCATTCAAACTTAGCCTGTTTCTTTTCAGGCACTGAAACATCCTTCAGTTGATCAAGAAATCCCATTTCGATCTCTGGGAGTGCGAATGATTCGGCCGTTATTCACAAACACACTTTTCTTACCTTCTGCTATTCCCTCATTTTCCAAGACTCACAAATGCAGCAACGAAGGACGCACAACAAGATGAGGTGACGTGTATCTGTTGCTGATTCATACCTTTGACAGTGAGCATGGCGCTGGTGACGGCATTCAGAGCCTGGTATGACACTTCGCCCGCCTGGTCCAGCTGGATGTTCTTCAGCGTCAGGAAACGTTTCCTGCCGTCACTTTTAATGTCGCACGTCTGAAAAACAACGGCCACACAAACACCAGCTGATGACAAAACATGTTTTTAATTAAATAAACTTCACTTCTCAAATGAATCTCATTAAAAATATGAATTAAATTAAAATAAAGAAAGCAGATCAATTCAGAGCACCTCAGTGACGCACCCACTGAACCATCAGAAATATTAACGTTTGTTTTTATTGAGTATTTTTGCTCAAAGAAGCTGAAGCAGTTTTTTTCCTCTCACCGGGGATCTGATCAACACTTGTCCTCTCAGCTTCCATTCTCCAGCCACGTCTTCCTCAGATATCTCAGTGTCAAAGTTTGCCTCCTCCTTCTCCACTACCTCCACGCTGGCGAGCGGCTTCAGGACCTCCGCCTCACGCTCTGAAATCAAACAAACACAATTTACATGTTTGGACTCAACTTGTGGACTCAGTGATTTTTCCTCAGAGTTTCACACCGACCTCCCAGTGTGAGCTTGGCTGTGTATCTGCGATCCTCCACCTCGATGGTGTAGTCTGACACATCCTCGGGCTGACAGTTGTTGACAGTCAGAGTCATGTCCTTTCCGTCTTTGTTGATCTCAACCTTGTCAGAAGGTGCGAGCTCGTCATCGCCCTTGAACCACTTCCAGTTGGGCGTGTCCTTAAACAGCTCACACTTGAACGTGGCCTTAGCCTTTGGTTTGACGTGCTGGTCTCTCAGAGGCTTCACCAGCCAGTCTTTGATTATTTCTGATGACACATGTCACATGGTTATTCATGTTTTTTTAAACGTTATAAACATATTTTTAATCTTGAAACTTTGACTTTAGCATGCACATCTACACATCTACACATCTGCTGCACTTGTGTCTGTCCTGGGAGAGGGATCCCACACGTGTCTCTGAGGTTTCTACGTTATTTGTTTTCCCTGTTAAAAGGGTTTTCGGTAGTTTTTCCTGACTGTTGTTGAGTTAAGAACACAGGACGTCACACTGTGTTAAACTCTATGAGACAAATTATGATTTGTGAATATGGGCTATACAAATCAAATTTGATTGATTGATTGATTCATGAATCTTGAAAATAAAATCTTGACGACAGCAGATCATTCTGTTTCTCTGGTTTAAAATCAATATAATAAATATTCTTATTGTGTATTATTCCCAGGCCACTGAGCTAAACCACTATTAAATAGGTGTAATGTATATAAAATATAATCCCGGGGGCGACGCTGAGCTATTTCATTCTTTAAGTAACTTTTATAAACTTTCCTTGAGAAACTCTGAAGCTGATTCAGTCTGAACGATGACGAGCGCTCTCTGTACTTCTTACCGATCACTTTCACGATGGTTGTCGTCTTGACGTCCTCCTGTCCGTCCACCTCACATGTGTAGGCGCCGGCGTCGTCGTCGGTGGCATTCTGAATGGTCACGGCGTGCTGCATACCGATGATATTAACGGCCACTTTCCCGGCCTGTTTCTTGAGGGGAGCGCCGTTACGTTTCCAGACGACATCTCGCTCTTTGTTCAGCTCACAGGTCAGATACATGGGCTGACCTTTCATACACGTCGTCTCTGGTTCTAGCTCTTTCAACCATTTCACAGGAAGCTCTGTTTACACAGATCAACTCTTTTAAACACTCTTATTTACATTCAGGGAAATTATGTAATGCTCAGAAGTTCACTGTCATCAGTACCTGAGTGAATGACGCTTACCAAAATCGTATTTTTAGTATTTGAGTTAAATTAGTTTCTAATGTTGAGACATTTGTGTTAAATAAAAAAAACTCAGTGGTTTACCTTCAACGATGAGCTTGGCTGTGCACGTTATTTCTTTGCCGGCGTTCTTGGCCACACAGCTGTATTCACCAGTGTCGGACAGCTGAACATCAATAATGTTCAACTTGCGATCTTTGCCGTCAGAGGTGAACTTGTGTTTGGGGCCTTCACGCAGGTTGCTGCCGTCTTTCATCCAGGAAGTGATGGCAGTGGAAGGTGAGACCTCACACTCAAAGACAGCTGACGAGCCGATGGACTCTGCTTCCTGCAACACAATGTCCTGAAGCTTCTTGATGAACTTCAGAGGGACGGCTTTCAGCTTGAACCCTCCGAAGGGATCCTCTGGAGGGGATGGACCTTTTCCACCAGGCCTCAGGCCGCGGCCCCGCCCACCGTCACCAGGTGATGGCGTCTGTCTCGCTGCAACATCAGATACAAAAACTTATCATGTTTGTTTAGGACAAGGGGAGATGTTGGACTCTTTGGATGTTTTTAAGATCTTGTTCCTATCGTATATTTGATGTCACTTTAGAAAAATCAGAGAAACATGATCTAAGATTGTGTTCAGACTAAGAATCATACAAAGCTTCAGAGAAGAGCCTCAAAACTCAAAGACAACAAAAACAACTAACTACACAAACATCACACACAGATAAAGATAACACAAGTAACTGTAAAGTTAGAAAACATCTGTGTGTTTATGGAAACACGTCATATGATGTAAAGTAAGATTAAAGATTTACACAATAAACAACGTACACTTTTACGACAGTTATGGAACAGGTGCTTAAAACACAAAGACCATAAACCGTTAGTATGTGAGTTTGTTCTCACCACCGAATCCTCGGCCTCTGCCTTTCGCTGGCTCCTCTGATGGTTTTCCATCTGGACAAGAAAGAGTAAGATGAGTTTTATGTTTCTCCGTTAACTTAAATATTCCAGAGGAAACCAAGAGAAAGATTTACACAACGCTAACCACAAACAGATAAATGGAACACTGCCATAATGAGAGGACCTCACACAAATAGAATGACGACGAGATGATGACAAGGACATAAAGAGATGAAGACGATGTGGACACTGGTGAAGACAAACATCTGATGACAGACATTAAAAGATGGACACATGGAAGTGGACGGAGATGAATCATGAGGTGGAGATTAAGGATGGTCATGTGATTAAAGATGGAGGTGATGAGATGAGTCATCAGAGGTGGGATGAGTCCAGGGTCGTCAGTTTTTCAGCCATCACCTCACCTCGTTTACTGCCAGGCATTCCTGGAGTCTCCAGCGCCCCATCAACCCCTTCACCATCCCAGTCGTCTGGAGGAACCAGCTCCCAGCCCCAGGCCTCCTCCTCTTCCTCACCGTCCTCCTCCTCTTCGAACACCTCCTCCTCCGGCTGTGTGGGAACCTTCTTCATGTGCACGGCTCCAGGAGACACCTCCTTCACCAGAGGGATCCTCACGCTATCAGGTTTGTCCTCTGCCGATGGCTTTTTTAGAACCTTCTTCACCGTCGGGGCTTCAGTCGAGTCTCTTGGCGAAAGTGTTTTTTGAATTATTTTGGGTTTTTCATCGCTTTGCTTCTTCTCGAGAGGGACTTGATCCAGTTCCTTTGTTTTTTCCAGTTTTGCTGACGGTGTCTTTTTAAGCTCCACCTTTTTGAGCTGCTCAGACTTTTCTTCTTCTACCTTTTCTTTACTGACTCTCAGTGATGGCGTCTTTTTGAGTTTGACACCTTTGTTAAAGATGTCTGTTTGTTTTTGTGGCACTTCTCTCTCTGCATCTTTCTGCAGGATTACTTCTTTCTCTCCTGGTTGAATCAGTTTCTTGAGTGGAACAACTGCTTCTTCTTTCTCTCCTGGTTGAATCAGTTTCTTGAGTGGAACAACTGCTTCTTCTTTCTCTGTAGGTTTCTCATCCTCCTTTTTGGGTGTCATCGTCTTTTCAACTTTTCTGATCCTAGTTTCATCTCTTGGACAATGAAGGGGTATTTCTTTATCCACAGATTTCTTTTTCTCTTCTTCAGGTGTTTTCTCTGTTTTTTCTTCCGGCTTGAGGACTTTAGAGAAAGGTTTCAGTAGAACCTCCTCTTTATCTAGTGTCACTTTTGGTATTCCACAAAGCTTGTCGGCAGTAGAAGGTTCCTCAGGCTCAGGGACCAGATCAACCTTATTCTTCAGCTGGATTTCTCTCTGGTCTTTGTTAACAATGTGAACAACCTCTGGACTCTCGACAGGAACTTCTTCTTGTTTTCTGTATTTTACTGCAGCACTGGGTTGATCTCTCTGTGGCGTCTCTGCTCTCTGGAATGGAGTTCGCTTGGTATCTGTCTGTGCTTGACCTTCTTTCTGAGCTTTTTGAGGCTCAGCTTCTTCAGGTTTCTGAGGTTTTTCAAATGGTTTCAGTGTTACCACCTCTTGTTCCTCCTCTTTCTTTGGCAGTTTCTTTATTTTCTTCTTAGTTAAATCTGGTTCAGGCTCTTCATCTTTCAGTGCTTTAGGAGTTCTGATCCATCTTGATTTCTCATCTTCTGCCTCTGGTTGTTCAGGTTCCTGCACAGATCCCAGTTCAGACATCTCTTCAGCTGCAAAGAAAACTCTTTCTCTTCTGCTGAGTGTTATCACCTCTCGATCTTCTCTGTCCCGAAGCTTCTGAACTGTTAGTTCTGTGTCATAATGTCTTGTTGTGTCAACTTTGTGAGTTATGACTTCCTCCTCTGCCTCTATGGGCTTTGTTGGCACCTTTTTAAGTTTGATCTTTTGCGGTTCTTCTTCTGGTTTCCCTGTTTTTTCAAAGGGTTTGAGTTTAACTGATTCTTCTGACTCGTCTGACTTTGGCAGTTTAGTGATTTTCTTCTTGTCCAAACTGGGTGTGTCAGATTCCTGCTCTTTCTGTGATTTTATAGTTCTTGTCCAACTTTCTTTAGCGGTTGTCTGTAAAACTATGACTCGTTCAGCTTCCTCAAAGTGTCTTAACTGAACTGTCTCTTCTTCTGCAGTAAAGAGTCGATCAGTTCTTCCAAGCGTTATGATCTCTCGATCTTCTCTGCCGTGAAGACCATGAGCCATTAATTCTGGGTCGTGATGTCGCGTCACTTCAGCTTTATGAGTTTCAACTTGTTTCTCAGGCTCTGGAGGTTTCACTGGAATCTTCTTCAGCTTCACCATCTCTGGTTCTGGTTCCTTCTCTTTGGGTTTTCTAGTGAATTTACTTCTCAGCTTTGGTGAATCAGGTGTTTTTGTCTCCTGAACAGGAACTTTACCCTTCTGCTTAAAATGTGGCGCTGTGGTTGAGGCATTTACCCCTTAATAACATTAACATACAGACAAAACAAGAAGCTCAACATTTCATATTGAACAACACAGGACTCACACACATTTGTACTTTATGAGAAAGCAACCAACATAACATGGATGAAGATTTATTGCCTATTTACATGAGGAAGTAAAGAAGTAAATGTTTGGTACCTTTAGTTGGTCCTGGAGCTGAAACTGGTTCCATGTCTGTAAGAATTTCAATAAGATCAATGTAAATATTCACAGAACAAACACTGACACAAACATGATTCAATCAAAGACAAAGACGTTCATTTGTCAAAGACAGACAGAAAACTTTGTGTTCAGATGTTCAACACGATGTTTTGAGCAGCGTTACACTAAAGTGTTTCCAGATGCACCAAGAGAAACATTTAAAGATTATTTAGCTTCTTTCTGTCTGATTATAGAAAAGAAAATAGAGCCACAAACATCAGACTAACATATTGGAACGGACGACAACAGGACGTGACCTTGTGTGAAGATTGAAGACAAACAACATGAATGACAGTTAGGGAAGAGACGTTACCTTCAGGCAGAGACATTTCCTCCAACACAGGAGAGCGTTCAGCCTTAGCGGCCGGAGGAGATGGTTTCCTCTGCATCGCTGCAACTTGAGCTACAAGAACATCAACTGGATTAAATCACTGGCAAAGATCTGACAAACAGAGAGAAACTCAAACAAAACAGATACATTTAAAGAATTCAAACTCAGAGGCATGACAAACAAGGTCAGACAACACAAGGGACAAACAGAAGAAAACTACCTGAAGGAAGAACGACTTTTTCTGTTGGAACCTTTGGTGTCAGAGGAGATGGTTTCTTATCTTCTGGAGGAGAAACTTCACAAACACGAGGACAGAAGATAAAGTGGTAACACATTAACAAAGACAGATTAAAGATGGAAAGTGCACAGGTCAGACAAACTCAGAAGCAGCCACATGGGATGAAATATTCAAAAACCATAGAAACACAGGACAGAGTTTCAGGTTTAGCAGTGTAAAAATCTACCTGCAGGGGGCGCAGCTTTGGCTGCAGCAGCGGGAGCTGAAGGTTTCGATGGTTTTTTCACCTCTGGAGGAGATGCTTCAAAATATAAGATTCCAAGATTATGACCAAGAAAACAACACGGTCAGTGAAGATACAGAAGCTGCACTGAAACAAGTCCAGACTGAGAAAACACGAAGAAACTATGAAACAAACAAACAAGCAAAGAAAACAGACAGACAGCAATATTAAATCCAGGTGAAGGAACTACCTGCAGGGGGCGTAACTTTCTCTGCAGCAGCAGGAGAAGGAGGTGAAGGTTTGAGTGCCGGTACAGATGGTTTCTTCTCCTCCAGGGGAGAAACTTTAAAATACAAGATGATCATGGTCATAATGAAGAAGAGAATAAGGTCAAACACGATGAGAAACGAGTGAGACAAAGAGGACGACACAAACAAAAGAAAAACAGCAGGTCAACTGTTGACCAGTCAAGACCGGAATACCTGCAAGGGGTGCACCTTTCTGTGCAGGAGCAGGAGCAGGAGCAGGAGCTGAAGGCTTTGGTTTGGGTGTGGTTGGTTTCTTCTCTTCTGGAGGAATCACTTTAAAATACAAGATTCCAAGATCACGACCAAGAAAACATTGTGGTCAATATCACGACAGATTAAATACGATAAGTAACTGCACAAACAAACAGAAGAAGTGACAGAATGAAGAAAGAAGGTCAACGATGAAATATGTTTAGAGAAGAATAGGTTTTAAAGACAAAAAGACGGTTTAATTGAAGATTAGAGTGAAATTCTTTTGGTTTTGTATGTGAGTGTAAAAAATGTGGTAAACATCTTTGAAGAGGAGTCGATGTGATGAAGATTATGAACCTGAACGGCTCAAAAAAACAGAATACCTTTCTGAAGAGTTTGTTGTTCAACCTCAGCTGTTCTCTTCTTTGCTTTCTCATCATCAGCTTGTTTCGGAGGTTTTGTTGCAGCGGTTCTTGTTTCCTCAGAGGAACCGACTGAAGAAGGTTTCCTTGGTAGAAGAGTTTCTACCTCAGAAGAAAAATATTTCTTCTCTGGTGGAACCTTAGGTTGTTTTGTAAAAGAAACCTTGTCTTTAGGTTTCTTGGGCAGCATCACTTCTTCAGGGACAAAGTTTTCTTCGGGAGCAGTAAACATTTTGGGAAGAGAACCGGATGTCTTCTTTGGTTCAGTTTCTTCCTGAAGACACAAAGTTTTCTCTGGCAAAGGAATCTGAGCTGTAACTGGAGATGACACTCGCCAACTTTCGGGGATTGATGTTGTTGCTTGGATGAGTTCTTCTTCAAAAGACAGTTCTTCCTGTACACAACGTGATTTCTCTGGAAGTACAGTGTCTTCAACATACATTTCATCTTTAGCTTTGGGAGTGTTTCTAATGTCTTCCTGCGGAAACTCAATCTTTTTACCAGGCATTGCTTCTTTCTCAGGAGGAATGACTTTCACAGGGTGAGACAGCGTTGTTTTGGGAAGAATTCTGGGTAAATCTTGTACAGAAGGCAGCGACTTGTGTTTACTATGAGGCAGAGACATGTGTCTGTCAGATGGAACTTCTCCCACAGAGTCAGCTTGCTTTGAAGGAAGTCCTCTGGACTTCTGCTGTATTGTGACTAATTCAGGTGCAGCAGAGATTTGAGGTTTATCAAGCTTCTCCAACAAAAAGCTGATTTCTTCAGGACATTCGGATTCAAGTGATTCAGTCGTGTCTCTCTGCTCTGTACAAGTTTCTTCTTTGAGTTTCTGTTCTTGAACACTTGTCTTGTCAGCCTCTTGTTTGGATGCAGATCCAGGGTCAGGAGGTGAAACTTCTGTCTTTACAAGATGACTCATTGCAGTTTTCGGTGCAATGTCTAGTTTTCTTGGTGCAAATGTAAAGTTCTGTAGAGGTGGGGAGACTGACGTCAGGGACATATCATTTCTAAGGTCCACAGCCTCTTCCACCCGATCAAAGTCTTCTTTATCACATGGTTCAGTGTCTGCTGATTCTTCAGCCTCGAAATATTTATCTTGTTGATCTTCACAGAACCATGAAGAATCCTTCACCACTTGTTGCTCCTTTTTCAAACTCATTTCTTCTCTGGACTCCCTCAGCTTCACTATTTCATATGTCTTCTCTTCCTCTTGTCTCAGTTCAACTTCTGCTGCAACAGAATTCCTTTGTCCACGATTCTTTATGACAGAAGACTCCTTTCTGTCTTCAACCACTTCTGTTTGTTGACGATCAGCCTTCAGGCGAACTGACGTCATTTTAAGATTTCACCCAAGAATGAAGATTTGCACCATGTAGCGGTGGCCAAGAGGAAAGCAACACAAAACAAAAACCATCAAGACACAATGACAAATTCAGTGCGATAATATTCTACTGTCATGCTTGTTTTATAAATCACTACCTATCTGCTGTGGAGCTTCTTCATATTTTGACTCCACTCTTCCAGAGGAAGTGACCTCTTCTGGATTCAGGGACAAATTAACACATCTGGTCAAACTACAGAGAACTGATTCTTTTTTACTTTCTAAAAAGTAACAAGAGACATTAACCACAAAAGCTGTTTTGATTATTGATGTGATGCAACAAACAAACAGTGAACACACATGAGAGCACAGCATCAGACAAAACGTTTGAAGAATTAGCTAAAGACATTTCAGAATAAAAGATAAAAGATCAAGATGATTCAGGATTAGTCAATCTGAGGTTTTTAATTTGTTTGCAGACATATCTACCTTGTTGTTGAGGCTTAGCCTGAAGGATTTGTTTTGGTGTTTCCAAATCTTGTGGTGTGGTTGGTTCTAGGTGGGGCACCATTTTTTGTGCCTCTGGAGTCTCCCTTGGTTCTTCAGGAACTTTCTTTGGTACCTCTGGAACTGTCTTAAGTGTCTTCTGAATTTTGTTTTGGGCTTCAGGAACCCTCTTTTCAACTACCTGAACCTTTTTGGGTACTTCTGGAACCTTCTTTAGTTCCTCTGGAACCAATTTTGGTGTGTCCTGAATTTTATTAGGAGCTTCAGGAACCCTCTTAATTTCTTCCACTATTTTTTTAGGTTCTTCTCGAACCTTCTTTGGGGCCTCTGGAACCAATATTTGTGTGTCCAGGACTTTCTTTGGAGCTTCAGGAACCTTCTTAATTTCTTCCAGTACTTTTTGGGGTTCCTTTAGAACCTTCTTTGGTGACTCAGGTATTATCGGAGGTGTTTCTTGAGTTTTCTTTGGAGCTCCAGTAACCCTCTTTGTGTCTTGGACAAGATGTTTTGGTTCTTCTGGAACCTTCTTTGGCACCTGGGCAGACATCTGTGTTTCTTCGAGAACCTCTTTCTTCGGTTCCTCTGGTTTTGTTTTGGGAATATGAGCCGGTTTTCTTGGAGTCTCTGGTTTCTTTGGTTCTGAGACAACTTAGAAGAACATGTTTTTATAAGATGATGATCTTTCTAAGCATATTTTGAAAGAAAAATCCACAATTGAAAGTCGCACTCTAACGAGTGCAAAGTTCAAAGATTTTCATGCACTATATTCAAATAATATTATTTTGAAATAAAACGTAACAAATGAATGTCACAGGAAACAAGTCAAAGATAAAACAAGTAGAACAAAGTGATAATTGACAGGTTCTCTGCAGTACCTTGGGCTGGAACAGCTTTGGCCTTTGGTGGAGCAACCTTTGGTGCAGGTGGTACTACAGATCCCTCTGCTTTGATTGCATCTTGTACTTAAGAGAACATTATGTATGGTTTAAGCTACAGGTAATGACCAAAGCTGAGGTTGAATCAAAGACAACACTCTTAACGAGTGAATTCAGAGTCAGAAAGACGAAGAAAAAAATTGAAAGTCAACGATTTATACCTTTAGCTGGAAGACGTTCTGGTGTTGAGGGAGAAACCTTGGCTGTGGTTGGAGAAACTACAGGTTCTTCAGGCTTTGGTGTTTCTGGTACTTTGAAAAAACATGATACATGCATGTTCAGTAACCTGGTAACCACCAAGATTTAAAAATGATAGTCCACTCTAACGAGTGCTTAAAACGAAGACAACATGAAGACACAGAACCAGTCACAGATATTAAAGATGGTCCCTCTCATTCCTTCTATTACAATCTCTTCAGCCTTTGGGGAAGTTTCCTGAACAACTGGCTGAACTACCACTTGCTTTGATTTTACTTGATAATGAAGTTTTTTGAAGAACACGTTGAGCTTCACTGTCACTGAAGGTGTTTCAGCTCCAGATTCATTAGAGCATCAAGAGGTAAAACATTCAAGACTTAAACATGTTAAAAAGCAACATGGAACATTTAACACAGAGTGTTTGTAGTTGATCAGAAGTAAAACCAAGTGTTGACTACTTTACCTCTCACTTTGGGAGCTTCTGCTTCTTTCTTCACAGCTTCCACTTTCACTGCTTCAGGTTCAGGCTTCATTTTGGCCTCAAGAGGAAAAGGTTTTGTTTCTGCTGTTTTTGATTTGTGTTGATAAGGTTCAGGAATGACCGCCTCTGGCTCAGCATAAACTGAAGGTTCTTCGAGGTTTAACATAGAAATACGAGTCAACAGAGCATCGAACGCTTCAAGAGTTTAGTGAAAGAAGAAAAACACAAAACACACAAATGTAAAAAACAAACAGCTGAAAGACAAAAGACCAACAACACAAAAATAAAAACTTTCCACAACAAGATATAGAGACGGACGTCAAGAGAAACATCTCAAGATCACATGTTTTGTTTTTCATTTTATAAAGATTTCTTTAATCTCTAAGTGTTGTCCCCACAAACGCCACTAGGGGTGGAAATGCTACATTAGGCAGATCTGTGTAAAATGTCAAATCTTTAAATTTCATCATAAAGTTTGTGAATCTCCTTTTAATGTTAAATACATTTGAAAAATAGATGGAGGATTCAGTGTATTCTACTGTTATAACATAAATACTGATCAATTCAAAACACGTCAAGCTAAAAGTCTTAAATGTGCAAATCTAAATCAAATCAAATATTTCGTCATTGAAAACTCTAGTGAGTCAGATTCAGGTGAAAGGATCTATTGGCAGAAATTTAATGT